TAACTATGAGCACACAGATTATAATTACCTAAAAAACATGGACCAGTTCACAATTTTCACAGTATCAGTTAAACTCAGATGTACATATGCAGATGTGCAGATGAATTACAATGAACCATGATGACAGTGGCCAAACTCGTGGATATGTGCCTCACAATCTCTCACTCTCTGTTTTTTCAGTGTTTTAATATTAGAGCTAAGTGGGTCATGTGGTTTGCTTGTCTTCCAATACGTTCATTGATAACATTTTATAACGCTTGTCATTTTTGAGCTACCTCTCGTTTTTCCTCACAAGCCCTAGTGCTTGGGATGAAACAAAAAATCATTTGGTTTTAGAAGAACTGTTTATTTTAAAACAATCTTCTAAGAAGCTTGAAAAAAATTATTTGGAAGAAATATTCTTCCTACTGATTTCCAACATGGTGACCTTTTGAATTTCCAGCATGGGTTAAGATGAAGAATTGATTTTACATTTAATAGGGAATGTAGTGTAGTGTAATGAAAGTTTGTAATGAAAAATGAGAACAATTCTATAGTCAATTTGCTTGAATTTGAAGTACCAAATTAAAATGAATTAGCTTATTCCATCATGTTTACAAAAAATTTATCTTATTTTTTTCAATGTGTTCCTTGTTTGGGGGGAAATACCATCATAAGAGGTTTTTCTGTTAGATTAGTCATTGTCTGTAATTGGAGATGATTTTAATACGGAATTTTCTTGTTTTGCTTTTGATAGATACATGAGTTAGTTGTGCTGCTATGTTGATTTGGTATTTGATATTTAATATTTTACATTTTAATATTCATGTAAAATGAATGCAATTTATCAACTTTTATTTTAAAAAATATGAGGAAATGACTTGATAAAATAGAAGTAGCATCAAATCAGGAGTTTGAATACCTGGATTCTAAAATTTAAATGACCCATTAATGAATGATGATCTTACATCTGTTACTTCTGATGACTAAATATTTCCTCAGAATAATGAAATTATATATAAATGTTTATCTGTTCCCCGATATTGGATCCTACTGTATCTGAAACACATACTTGTTGGTGGGGATACGAACACAAATATATGACCATTCTCTTCATGGAGCATCATTATCTAGAGGGAACAAATTTTCAGTTAGTCAGGGAAACATAAAAAAAACAATTATAATCAAAAGGAAGTGACATCTGAATCAGCCTGGTGGTGTCAAAGATACTGTATTACCTTTGTCTTTCAAGTATCCATAAAAGAGCCTGTATTGGAGGTAGGAGACAAAGAAGTCTATGCAAATATTCAGATTAGAAACCACATACTGATATAAACAACCACTAAGTAGTTCTGAAATTCATGGTGCATAAAGTTTGAGGCAGAGAGGAGTATATACAGGACCTAGTCCTGCTCAAGAGTGAGCGCAGTGACTCACAGGAAATGGAGCTTTTAACCTTAAGTGTCTGGGTCAGAGAGATCACTCTGTTGGCTCCAGGGAGGACATGTTTAAAAGACACTAAAGCTTTATTTAGAAATTTTTCTTTTGCTTTTAATCTTGGATTCTCATCAACAATGCATTAGAGTGCCAGTTGTTGCAAATAGCAAGTGTGCATTTATAAATTAAACAAAAAATTCTTGCTTTCAAGTGCTTCCCAAGTGTATTATATTAAAAATTGACACATTGTGCTATAATTTTTATTCTTTTCTGAATACATGCTGGCTAATAATGACGGCAGTTTGAAATAACTTTTTCCTCCCCTGAGTTAATAGAGACTATAAGGGATTTGAAAGTAAAAGTTATGATCAAATTGCTTCTTACATCTATATCGTGACAATAGTTTCCACATCATTTAAAATATTTGGTTGATAATATTTTCTTAATTATATAGGAATGTGAGTCTAGGCAAATCTCTAGAACCTAATTGGTATTTGATTTTTGGTTATATTAAAGCCTTTAATTGTATTAGAACTAACAGTCCAGTCCCAATGCAGTTGCAAGACCACTCCAGCTTACTTGAAATATGCAGCAGGAACAAAAGGAATAACTTAGGAGGCTGTATTACTTTGCAAATTTCTAAGTTAGTGATCTTTCTAATATAAGTAGACCTGGTCTCCACAGATAATGCAGGGCATCTGGTCTAAACTGGAACTTTCAATTACCCTTTAAGTGATTTAGGAAAATCTGAATAGAATTTAGTATTAATACCTGGCATCCCTAAACTCCAGAATAGCAATAGTACCTTCTCTTTGTGTGACTCTTTTCTTAGAATAGTTTTGAAACCTTTTGACAAGACTAAGTTAAGTACAGGGCAAAAGCAAAATTAAACCTCAACAACTATAACTTTTTCCCAAGACATGATTTGTTAGCAAGTAGACTTTTAAAAAATGGATGACTAATTAAAAGTTCAAAAGAGGCTGAAACTTGCTATCATATATATAAATTGACATTTTTAGTATTTCAGTTTGAAGCTATTATTCATCTATAGGGTTTAGGAAGGAAGTTATTTTGATGAAAATTATATTAAAATTATGCCTTAGGATAAGACCAAGTTGTGTTCTGCCTTGGGTTTTCTGCTTCTCATGACATTGAATGTTGATGGAAACAATGGCAAGCACTTGTGTAATGTATAATAAAAACCCATAAGTAGAAGCTTTGTGTATACCAAATCACTCACAAGTTCTGCTTAATTTGTGTGGCTGATGAATGAGAAAATTTTCACAAGTGGCCAATTCTTTAAGGTGTGACTATATTAAGAAAACGAGGAATTCTTTGGAACCATTGAACCCCCACAATGGAATGGCTGCATATGAATATATATCCTTATCATTAGCTTATAGATATTTATTATATAACAAGAATGCTTTCCATAATCTATGGGATGTTGATACAAATTTTTGTTCTTATTATGAGATTAGAAAAGTCACAAAGAGTATACCCAACTCAATACCATTTATTGTAATTTATTTTAGTTTTTCTTTGATTGGCATCATCTATGCCGTGTGTTAGTATGTCCTATGTTGTTTTGCAGTGGGATTAGACACATATTGATTCAGGGACTTTTTTTTAAAGATTAATTAATTTATTTATACATACAGAACTGGAGTACAGGCCAGAGGTTCAGGGGCGGTGACAGGATTCACCAGACAGAGTGGGGATTGACAGCATACATTGGCAGAGTGAGGATTGACAGAGACAGAGGCAGATCTATGAAGTACACTGCTGAGGGGAGTAGGGGGCTGGTCAGGAGAGGTCTTCTTTGCCATGTGGATCTCCTCCGCGGGCCCAGGATCAAACTTGCATTGAAATGGCTGCGCCTAGCTTGCAATGCTGCATCCTAACCGGTTGCACCACAAGGGAGGGCCCAATCCAGGAAATTTATTAGCAATTAGCAATCCTTTTGCTAGCCCAATTACTTAGACTTTTTTCTCCATAAAACACATATTTTCAGGCCCTCCCGGGTGGTGCAAGAGGTTAAAGCACAGCACTAAGAAGCTAAAGCCACTTCAGCATGAGTTCAGTCCCTGCTCTGAGGTGACCCACATGGCGTGGCAGACCTCTCCTGACCAGCCCGCTGCTCCCCTCAGCAGTGTACTTCGTCCATCTGCCTGTTCTGCTTCTCACTCTGTCTCTGATGAATCCTCTCACCGCCTTGCACCTCTGGCCTGTACCCCAATTCTGTCTGCATAAATAAATAAATAAATCTTAAAAAAGAAACACACTTATTTTCTCACACTATGTTCTGCCATGTTTTGAATGTTGACATTTTGTTTATTGAAAATAATCATAAAATTTTGTTTTCTTCATTTCTTTTGCACTTTCTTCTTACCACAATATTTCTTTCAGTCATGATGGTGGCAAGAAGGCACATTTTCTACTTGAAGTGATCAATTGTAAATCACAGAGCATTTCTTGTATGACACCAGTAAATGTTCTTTAGGCAACATTAGAGAGATATACTTGCCAGTTAGATGCATAAGCCTTCCTAAGTTGATTAATTTCCTTCATGACAAATCAGGTAAAAAATTCTGATAACCTGCAAGAATGTCTAGAATGTTGGGGGAAGAACTTATGAGGTTTGAGGTCAGTCATTTGGTATTTAAAACTTTCTGTCCTTCGACTAGGACATCAATAAATAATGCATGAACAGCTTTTGATGAAAGACAGAATTTGAAAAATGAAATAAAATTTCAACACTCTCATATACCATTTGTGAGGAAAAATGAAACAAATATAGATTCACACAGTAGTGAAAAAAAGAATGTGTTTTTTAAGTCTGAGTTTGCATAAAGTTTTTTTTTTATTACTATACTATGGCAGGATTACTAGTAAGTATGCAACATATTTGCAAAAGTATTAAAATAATTCATCATGATTAATTCCATTATAGTAAATCTCATTTCTAATCACAATCTGCCATACACTGTACCGGTCTGTCAATATTTTATATTTTACAGCGTTTTGGGGGAATTGCACCTTCTGTAATAGCACAGATGCCATCTGAGTTCACTGTGATTAATGTGCTTCTGAAGGAGATCTAATAACGATTAGCCCATTTCAGAAAGTATTACAGAATAAGGTCAATGTGAGAAAAATTTTAAGGCTTTTAAAATTGTACATTTTAGCAAGTACCTTTGGCTGCAAATTGGGTTTCTTGAAGGGTGAAAAGGTTTAAACTTAGAAACAGATGATCTATAGGGACACGGGTAGGAAAGGGAATAATTTGTTTCCAAATACATGAAAGGTGAGAAGAAAATAGGCAAGTCTAGAACTAATGGTTGAAAGCTATAGGGAAGTATATAATAATGCAATTTCAGATAATGAAAGCTTTCCAGAAAGAGAATGAATTTTGTGGAATCCCCTTGTGTCAGAGTAGAGGTATGATACCTACTTATAGAGATTATTGCAAAATGTTTTTTAATGGTTCAAAAGATAGTTCTCTTTAGATAAATTTTGAATTCTACCCCAATCATGAGTATATGTAAATTAACTTTTTTTCCCAATATCAACATATTTCCTAGATTATGGTGGAGGCTTCAGTGGGAGATGGCTTCACTGGAGACATTGCAATTGATGATTTGTCATTTATGGGCTGTACCCTCTATTTTGGTAAGGAAGAACATTTCAGTATTTGAGTATTTATATGTCTGTGTTTTTGGTAAAATTTCAACAAAACCAATAACTCATTTCCAAAAATATTCCCAAATATCCACAGTTTTATTTCTAACTAGATTGATCCTGGGAAAACTTGTTACAAATCTTTGCTACTAATTAGTCTTAAATTCTTTCAAACATAAAGAGGTTTGAATTAGCTGAGTTATATCTCATCACATGCAAGATATTAGGAAATCAGCTCTGAAGTGAAACTATAATTCCGTTATATTAGAGGGGTTGTGATAACCAAAGTAGTTGTTGCCTTATAATTATATTGTTTTGGGAGTTAGAATAACCTCCCAGTTACCATTGGTGATGTTTTACTCTCAAGCTAGACCTTAAATATTTTTTAGGTTATTATCCATTTATTCTCCATTTTATATCTTTTTTTTATAATAAAGCAATTACATGTTTTCCAAATTTATATCCATCTTTAAACTTTTCCCTGAAGCCCCAATTTAAATAAAGATCATCTACTCAGCATCTCAACTTACATATTGAGATACCTAGTAGCTATGTCAAAGATGAGGAAAAATAACCTAAAATGAACATATTTCAGGTTTTGAATAGTTTTACTGGGGGAAATTCATCTGGGCATTGCAAAATGACATAGTAGGATGATACCCAGCTCTTGGAAGGTGATTTTTGTCACCAGGACTAGATATCCTTAAACTGCATGAGAAGATGGGAGCATTATCTCTTTCTTAGAGTCATAGGAGGATAGTTAACATTAAGGATCAATTGTCATCATGCACATAGAGCATACTATCTTGTGCTATAACTAAACCCTCAACTCCATTAGTGTCATATCACTGGCTAGAAGAGTCCCAGCCCCTCCCAGCATAATCAGAGAGCTGGATTCCGGTTCTTTTTAGTGTAGCCAATGACACAGTTATGATCTTCCTCCTTCTCATTCTGGTAGGATTAATTACCTTTATCATTTTATGTGGTGATTTACCATGGAGCTCAGCAGAAAGTCAAATACCTCTGAAAGGCCAGCAAGCAAGCAAGAAAGAATTGAATAAGTTTGCCATGTCTCAGTTATTCAAAGTAATTTCTTGATCTTTAATTGTTCCCTCACTCCTGCCATTCTCATGCCTCTCTATTTTAGTGATTGACAGTTGATTTCTTGATGCATACTCTTCATTAACAAACCTGGTCCACACCTTGTTTCAGATACACTCAAAATTCATGATTTCTCCTTAGTTTCACAGCTCTCCTCTAGTTCTAAGACACCCTGGATTATTGCAATAGTTTTTTAAATGATCTCTCTGCTCATTTTTTTTATGACATAAGTATTTTAATGCCAGTTTTACCAAATGTAAAATAAGGCACAATTTATTATAGTTTTATTTCATTTTGTAATTTTTACTGTTGTATCATAGCATTATACAATTCAAGTGTTCATTATTATAAATTGATGTCTTTTCTCTCTACATTTATTACATTAAATTACATTAACCACCATAGGTCCAATTCTATCCTTCACCAGCATATCTTTCACAGAATTATTTGCTTCTGATCTTGAATCATATAAACTATTCTCAAAGCAGCTGCTACATTGTTTTCTTCAAAGTTATATTGTGTTATGCTCAAACAGATTGTATTATGCTACAGTCAATCTTCCTGTGTTGTCCTTTCTCATTATCAGCAGAAACTAAACATCTTCTAATAGTGTCAAAGGAATAAATGACTGATTCATAGAAATCTCTGACTTCACCTTCTACCACTCTGCCTTTAATTGACTTCTTTCAACTACAAAGTATCTTAGCTAATCCTTGAGCACGACAATCCATTTATGCCTGAAGGTCTTACAGCTTCTCTCCCTCTTCTTGGAATATACTTCTTCCATTTGTTATTTGACTCTCTTCTTTACTTCTTTCTGATCTCCACTCAAAAATTTCTTCTTTAGGGAAGCCTTCCCTAAGCATAACACGCACACACACACACACACACACACACACACACACACCATCTTCTTATCTGACATTTTCTAACTTTTTTGCCTCTGTTATTTTTTTTCTACAACAGCTATCACTTCAATGTTAAAATGAATCATTTCAATGATGAAATTTCTATTTTTCTCCACAATAATGATAACTGTAGAAGAAGAGGGTTGGCAGCTGCTTATACAGTGTTGTTAGATGAATAGGTAGATAGATGCCTATCTTTGCAGTATTTTATATACTTTTATTATTATTGCTAAAACTGTAAGTGCTTCTATGTGTAAGATACTGTATCATTTTCAGTCATCTTTTGTAAGTTAAATCTCTGATTTATAGACACATGCATTTCTTTCTTGCTTTTAAATATGTGGGCTGGCTTAGGAAAACAATAGCAAATATATGTGTTAATGATTCATAGACCTTTATAATTCTATGTCATTCCAACCTATATTTCCCCATTCCATGTTTCCTGTCCCATGTTTCCTGTCTATCAGGAACCAAGGGTGAAACACTAAGTCCCTAAATGGCACGTTTTGTTGTCAAGTTAGAGGGTGAGGAAAGGAAGCACCTTTGGGGCTTCTGTGGTACCTGGTATGTATCATGTCTGACCATGTCCATTGGACAGTGCAAGCCATGTGACTAAGTCTTAAAATAGGACAGGAAGTGCTATCCTCAGACAAGGAGTTTAGCAGGGGTAGGAAAATAAATTCTCTACAAGAGAAGGAACTGGTAACAGCATCTAGCTCTCATAGATATCAGATCATCTATTTTTATATAATTTGTTTAAAGTTTTTTAGAAATCTAGAATATGGTCTGAGCCATCATAGGTGGGTAAATGGGAAAGTTAAATGGGATTGACACCTTTGTAGTCCCAGATTTACAGAGAACACTGAGAAGGAGATAATCAGCTCAAGGTGACATAGATAAGATGTGGTAGAATATGATATCTGCATTTTTGCATCATAATGTTAACCACTATTACTGTAGTGCTGATCAAATTAAAAATTAAAAGAGTACACAATTAAAGTGCATAAGAGACTGGGAGGAGATACACAATTGAGGACAAAATTGAAATTGTCACATAAGTTTGTCTGACAAATCAGTGATCTAGGCTAGTCCCCAATCTCCTCTCACTCTGATCTTAAGGTGCATCATTGTGACCTCAGGGGCAATGGAGAACAACACAACAACAACATCAGACAGGGAACACAAATCACCATTGATATGGTTTCTGCTCCAGTTAACCTCTTTAAAATACTTTGTGACTAGTGGTTCCAAGATGAAGGTAAAGAGCTGCCAGCACATAGCAGAGCTGTGAAATAGCAGCCACAGAGCATTGGGCTCGATTTTCTGGTTCAAGTTTTTGGAAGAAAGACATGGAATTTAAAAACTGAGCTGTGCAGTTTTAATGTTGGCTTTATAACAAAAGGTTGATGATAAAACCTTTTGAAGTCATAGGCATCATAAAGAAATTTGATGTAACCCTGCCTAAGGTGAAATAAAAATTAGACTCTTAGTAAATTTATTATGCTTAATAAATATACTAAGCTGACCATCAGTCAGGGTTTGTTTGTTTGTTTGTTTGTGACATATTAATTGAGATAGAATCTTTATATACAGGCCTAATTGTAGATATTGACTTGTTTTCAATATAAACTAATCTTGTGCAGCATATTTCCTCCCTGGTCAATTAAAAAAATGAAAACTAAAAAGCATAAACACAAAATAGGGACCTAATTGTTAAAGTTCAGGTTTGTACATTACCTATAGCTTTTATTTTATACTAAAATTTATTTCATTTTTCCTGCCCTTCACAATCAGATTCTTGTGTCCCTATTCTTCCTTTGTTTCTTTATTTTTCTTGAGGTAATGTTGGTTTAATCATTATGTTATCCATTCTCATACAAAATTATCTGTTGAAACATCTTTAATTGGAACAAGGACAAGATTCCATTTCAGTCAAGTTGCAATTGCAAATAAATGATATACTACTTCTGCAGAAACGTATCTCATTTAAAAATCAGGTTAGGGATGACAGGAGGAAAAAGTCTTTAGTATAATTCTTAGTGCCCACATCTGGAACCCTTTTGGTTTCTACCAATATTCCAAGCCCTTTCCTTGGGACTTCTCAGCAAGTTTGAAAAGCTTTTCAATAATATCCATTTTTTATTTTTGCCTATTTTTTTATACGATATATCCTGAGTGATTTGCCATTGCGAAGGCCAAGAAACTATCTTCCTATTTCTGTATAAAGGAATTCAGATTAGCAAATACTATTGAGTATTCCTTACAATATTAAATGTGAAACACCCTAAAAAAAATCACTATGTAAAATTCTACAAGACATTGATAATTTGTGGGCCCTCCTTGGTGGCACAGTGGGTTAAAGCGCAGCACTGCTAAACTGGCTGAGACTGTGACTTCAGTGCCTCCATCCCCTTCCTGGAGGTGACCCAGCAGGCCTATCTCGCCTGCTGTTTTCCTCAACAGTGTACTTCATTGATCTGCCTGTTCTGCTCCCCACTCTGTCTCTGGTGAATCCTCTCACCACCCATGCACCTCTGGCTTGTACCCCAGTTCTGTATAAATAAATAAATCCTTAAAAAAAAAAAAAGGAAATGGATCATTTGTAAATGATGCTTTGTATATTATTTCTTCTCCAGGTAATTTGCCAGTGGATCTTTCAATTCCCCCTGCAACTTTAATTCCAGCAACATTACCTCCACACAACTGTACAGACGATGAATTTATCTGCAGCCCGAGTGGCCATTGTATTAAAGAAATTCAGAAATGTGATTTTAGATATGACTGCCCCGACAAATCTGATGAGTCATCCTGTGGTAAGTGAAATTCTTGAACTTTTTATTGAATGTAGCCATAAGTGATAAGAAAATGACATGCTCTACTGTCCTAGTTTGACATCTTCAACTGGCTATATGCGGTCTTTCAAGTTAGAAGCTATTTATATAAAAACAAAATATAGTTGGAGAGTTGATGCATTTTTCTATCAGGCACAGTGTCTTTAAATTAGTGTTTTGGATTCAAAACACTTGTCTCCATGGACTTTTTTTGACCCTAGAATGATCACTGACTAGCTCTGCTCTAGCCCTTTATTTGTCTCTGCTATTCACATGATAAGTAGGAATATTAAGGGAGGAAGAATTATAATATCCCCAAACTAGACAAATTCACTTACTTTTTGCTCTTGACAAAATGCACATATAAAATAAATACTATGTCAAATAAGGAGTTTATGAAAAGATCGATTAAGATAGATAACATCTTCAACACTTATGCTCTATTGAAAGGTAGTTTTCTTTGTTTTAGAACCTACCAATCCTTGGCTCTTCTATTGGATCAAATGCAGGTTACTTAATTTAAAAGTGAACTTCATAAACAAAGATGCAAGTCCAAGAGAAAAAGTAACTACTTATGTCTAAATGGACCAATAATAAGATCAGAAATAATAAGCACACACACACACACACAAGAAATAATAAACACTTGATGGTTTTTATCCCCTTCTCTGCTGTTTATTGAATAGTAGTGAATTTACTGTTTGCTCTAGTATTTCTCAAGTATCCTGATCATATTAAAAGAGTCTGGAACATATAGGTAATATAGATGGTAAAATTCTAATTTTCTTGTATTAGCCTTAGTAAGAAATTTTATATCTTAAACAATTAAAAACGTTCATATTTATTCTTCAACAAAGAAATATACCTAAGCTAGACAAAAATAATCATAAAAATAAAGCTGTCTCTGGGGGGCCTCCCTGGTGGCACAGGGGTTAATGTCACAGCGCTTTCAAGCTATCCTATCACTGTGGCATACAGAGTTGATCCCCCCAGGGAGCTGACCCACAGGGCACTGCAGACCTCTCCTGTCTCCCCGCTGTTCCCCTCAGCAATGTGTTTCAGTCAGTCTGCCAGCTCTGATCCTCACTCTGTCTCTGGCGAACCCTTTCATCTCCCACACCTCTGGCCTACACCTCCTTAGATGCATAAATAAATAAACGATGAACTCTTGCTATTTGGGACAAAATGAGGAACCTTGAGGGGATTATGCTAAGTGAAGTAAGCTAGAAGGAGAAAGATGAATTCTATATGATTTTTATTTACTTAGGGAATATAAAGAAAACTGAAGCAAAAATAAACTCTTTAACTCTGACAATAGAGTGATGTTTACCAGGGTGCAGGTGGGGGTAGGGAAGGAAGTATTTGCTTGGTGCTAGATTGTGGCTGGAAAAATGGTGGTAGGTGTGCTGAGAAAATATAATCTTGGGACTTGTAAACTGTCACCTCATTTAAAAAAAAGACAGTATTGGTACATACAGAAATCACCATTTATTACAAATTGTGATTAACTTGTATTTTTGTTGTTTCCTCTTATGCAACAGTTATGGAAGTTTGCACGTTTGAAAATGGAAGCCTATGTAAATGGTATCAGCCAACCCCAGGGGATTTAATTCAAGATTCAAATACATTCAGGTGGGGACTTGGTAATGGGACCAGTATTCATCATGGGGAAGAAAACCACAGACCACAGGTGGATCATACGAAGTAAGTGAGCACCTATTTTTTAACATGTCTCTCAAGAATTATTAAGCAACTCCAAATTTCTGCTCTACCACCTTACCGTAACTTGTATTTATTTGATCTCTTTGTATAGAGAAATGTTTAGTTACAGAGCTAAGTAATGTTTAGTTACAGAGTGACAGGGCTCAGTATAATCTTTCATCCAAAATTAAAAAAAAAATCAATTAAAATGTGTGAAAGTTGTGAAAGTCATAGAAACCAGAGGGAAACATAGATAAAGAAATCAATTCGTAACGTCATCATTCATTCAAAAGCACTATTAGGCCTTCCCTAGTGGCATGGCGGGTCAAAGCACAGCGCTTGCAAGCCAAAGGCACCCGACTCAGCGTGGCTTCAGAGCGAGTCCAATCCTGGGCCCTGGAGCTGATCCACACGTCACAACAGACCTCTCCATCTTGCCCGCTGCTCCCTTCAGCAGTGCACTTTGTTGATCTTCCTGTTTTGCTTCCCACTCTGTCTCTAGTGAATTCTCTCACTGCCCCTTCACCTTTGTCCTGTACTCCAGTTTTGTATGCATGAATAAATAAATCTTTACAAAAAATGAAAAGAAAAGAGCACTATTAATATGTCATTTCAAAACTATCCATTCCTCCTCCACCTCCTTAGGACCTTTTCTCCTTTCCCTCCTCTCCCAGCTTTTCCCTTTTCTTGTCTCTGCCTTTTCTTTCAATCTTTAGTCTTCCTCATCATTTATTTAGGTTTTTTCATCATCCAAGACTCAAACTCAAACCTTTGTCTTGGTCCCCAATAAGTAAGTGTTCCCTGTCCTACAAGCCTCCAACCTTCCTTATTTTGTTTGAATAATCTTGAGGAAATGTTACTGAAGACATGAATAAAGGCATTTTATGTTATAGGACTCTTATCCAAACTATTTTTCCTCATAGCTCGCCACAGTTAAAGCTTCTAACTTGCTGCTTCAAAGAAAGTGAATGGTGTATCTGCCGTCCAGCCCCTGATTACTTTTGCTAAAATGACCTCGAGGAGAACCACAATGCTTTAGAGTACAAAGATTTTCTGGGCTGATTTTTTCACTCTGGCTTTCTGAGCTCTCTTTTACTTTCGACTTTATTGTATTAAAATATTTTTCAATTTGACCACAATTGATTTGAAGCTTAGCAGCCAGAGTTGCCTAAAGTACATAGATAGAATAGCAGATGTTATTATTGCTTTGCTTTGATCATATTTGACAGTTGTCAAAAAATTTTTGCAATTTTGCCATATAAATGTTCCTTAGGATACTTGTAACTTATACAAAGCAAAGGGAGGTTTCAGGAAATTGTGTGGCTCAGGTAAATAAGCAACACCTCATGAATTACCTATATTTCCATTAATATATTCCATATATTTAAATATAGTCTGCATTTCTAAAGAGCATGAAATCACCTCCTCAGGCAAAATTAACTTTGCCACGCTTGACTGTTACATATGGAAATGATGTCTAATAGATTATGTATGTATATCCTAAGTTAGTGGTTTCTATCTAACTGGGTTCATTAGGGAGTTTTTCAAAATGTGGATCAAGGGTTAGAGAAAATTTGTTTATATACAGACTGAGAAACACTTGTACATTGGACCTGGGAGTTTTTAATTTTAGTATAATTTAGCTTGTCAGGCTAGGCAATTTTAAAGTTAGCTTATTTCCCTAGATGGCTCTAGGATCTCTTACTTAAGGGTCTCCATGGCAAGAAGTAGGGACTATATTGCTAAAAACAGTGAACTAAATTTATTGCTTTCTAATCCCAATTTTGATCAGAGAAGACTGTTTCATCTCTAAATCTAGAGAAAATTTTCTTTAGAACCTGATGTCAGGAAAAAAAAATGTTAGAAGGTAGTTTCATTAAATAATAAAACAACTGTAAAATGACTGTTGTAATTGAGAAACAGTTTAAGAGCAAATTCCTTACTCAGGCTTACCTGTTGCCTTAGGGGTTAAGTCTCAGTGCTATCACCCTTTAAGCCTGAGTTTGATCCCCAGCCAGGGAGGTGTCCCACATGGCGCAACAGACCTCTCCTGTCTCTCACCTACTGCTCCCCTCAGCAGTGTGTTTCAGTGGATCTCCTTATTGTGCTCCCCACCTGCACCTCTGGTCTACACCACAGTTCTACTAAATATATATATATATATAAAGAAACTTCCTTACTCTCAGACTAGTTTCTCCACCTAAAAGACCCATAATTTCAAGGCACATTTTACATAGTCTCATTCATTGCAAAATTCCTACCATTTTTCCCTCAAACCTCTTGCATACCTGCACTCTTACTTTTTTAATTCTAATCAAAAGAACTCATCATTCTCTTCAATGAAAAGAAAATGTACCTATTTCATGATTACCTGGAATAAGGAAATATTTTAAATTATTTTGGATTTTAGGACTTGCTTAAAGGTTATTGAATAACTTTTTGAATATGAACCAGCTCATTCACCATGCTGACCAGATAGAACATAATTTCTTAAGTGTATTATTTATTTGTAAAATAGAAGTACTTTTCTTAGATTTTTCTTCTTATTTCATAACACTGATCATTGTTTTTCAGGTGGAACATTTTTTTTTTAATATTTATTTATTTATTCATACATATAGAGCTGGGGTACAGGCTAGAGACGTGGAGGGTGAGAGGATTCACCAGAGACAGAGCAGGGGAGCAGAACAGGCAGATCCATGAAGTACACTGCTGAGGGGAGCAGCGGGCGGGTCAGGAGAGGTCTGCCACGCCATGTGGTCACCTCCGGGGCAGGCGGGAATCGAACTGAAGTGGCTTAAGCTTCTTAGTGCTGTGTTTTAACCCGCTGCGCCACCAGGGAGGGCCCAGAACATAGTTTTAATCCCCACCTTCCTTCTTTCTACAAGCTTGACATCATTATAAAGTAAAAAAAGCCATAAATAAAGCAAACTAACTCTGTGACATAACTCTGTATATTATATGTAAGTGTTAGATACAACAGTGGCTAAAAGCTTCCATAAATCTGAAAACATTTTAATATATTCCTGTGCTGCAAGAATAACTATTTTCAAAGCTTTAGTCTTTTAGACATTAAATGCCAGAATTATTGCTTTCACAGAACTTTCCTTGATAGGAAGATCAGACAGTATTTTTTAGGTCAATTTAGATGCCTTAACACTCTCCCAACATAATTTCTAAAAGATTCAGTTTTATAAATCTAGAAAAATGGTTTAATACTGGGTTTTTGAAATGGTTTTGCTGAAACAAAGTCTAACCAGTCAAAATCTAAATTAACTAAGGTAATTTTCTCTAACTTTTAATACACGTGAAAGTCTCATTCCGGTGGCATTGCTGCAGGGTTGAATATAAAGCATAATTATGTCTCTCACACACAAGAAAACATAGTTTTACTATCTTGGCCTTTACTTATGCTTCTATTCTTTCACATCGTCATATACAACAATAATTTGTTTTAAATAAATAACTTAAACCACTTTAATATTAATTTTTTCAGTGTATTTTAGTTTGACAATTTTAAAATTAACTACTATGGTATTTAAAAAAAAAATCAGTGATGAAAAAACCTGTAAACTATGCCTAAATTATAGGTATATGATACACATATGTCACATACAGTGGTTAGGTAATATATTTGTTACACAAGGTGAAGTTTAATGAATATATTCATAAGACAGTGTATGATTTTATATTATGTTAACAAAGATCACTATATTTAATAATGAAATAACTTTGATATCATGGTTTTAAATACACTTTATCGTTTTCATTATATAATTTTACATGTTTTTCCTTTCAACCTCAATAGAATTAAGGAAATATATTACTGTCCCACGCTTCTTACAAAGAACTGCTAAAATTGCACAAAGTTGGGAGGAAGAAGTATCTTTCACAGTACCTGCTCAAAGATTTGGAAATATGAGCATAATTTAATCTCACAAATAATTTTTATTTTACTTATTTAATTTTTTTTTAGGTCACAGTGGTATCCCATATTATATGTGATTCAGAGGTAGAAAATGACACCTCCTCAAGTGTATGTTATACACATATGCACCCCACATGTTCACCATAGTCTGCTACCATAGTCCATTGTGTCCCCTCCAGGATTATGTCCACCCTTCCCTCCACTTCCAGTTTTAATTCTACATACTGATTTCTAGAGATTTCTGACTGGGATATTGACTGACAGTTTGGTTTCTTTCTCTATATTCCAATATATGTGAAACTATTCTATAAATATCTCTTTCCTGATTTATTTAGTTTAGCATTATCCCTCCAGTTCTATTCATTTTATCATAAGTACAAAAGTTCATTTTTGTTTTTTTTTAAGTTTTATTTATTTATGCGTACAAGATCTGGGGTCTAGGCCAGAGGTGCTGGTGGGTGAGAGGATTCACCAGGGACAGAGTGGGGAAACAGAACAGGCAGATTTACTTATACATACTGCTGAGGGGAGCAGTGGGCAAGGTGAGAGGTCTTTTGTTCCGTGTGGGTCAGCTCCCAGTTGGGAAACAAACTCATGCTGCAATGACTGCATATAGCTTCATAGTGAGAGACATACCCCTTGCGCCACCAGGGAGGACCAAAGTATTCATTTTTCTATCCTTGAATAGAATTCTATTTTGTATATAAATTATATCTTCTTCATCCACTCATCTGTCCTTAGAATGTTTCTGTAACTTGGGTACTGTAAATAGTGTTATAATGCACATAGACATGCATATATCCTTACTAGTGTTTTTGCATTCTTTGGTAGATACCTTGGCATAGAATTGCCGAATCATATAGTAGATCTGCTTTTAAAAATTTTGAGAAACATCCAACTCTTTTCTGTAACAACTAGATCATTCTACATTCCTACCAAAATTACATGCATATTCCTTTTTTTCCATGTCCTTGCCAATACTTCTGGTGTTTTATGCATGGACTATTCTTAAAGGTGTGAGGTGGTATACCTTCATGGTGTTGATTCTTATTTCCCTGACATTAAATGCGGGTGA